GTATACATTTCTAGAACGGAAATGAGTCTCGCTTAACATTGACAAATTGTTAAAAAGCCAACCAGGGGTCGCGTTAGTTATTTTTCGATAATTTTTTTTTTTTTTTAAACGGTAGCCGTAATTGGAGGTCTGATAGCTTCGGCTCGCACACTATTTCGATTTTAGAGGTGAGGTGTGGGAAATGTTATGGACGTACATTTTAAGACTTGATATTTTGGACACTAATATAAACATAAAATGTAATCAGTTTTTTTTTCAATAATGACATTTTGTAAATACATTGTTTTACGCTTCTGTGACAGTTTTCCCACTTTCCCGGAAGACCCTATATTATATCGGTACTCCTTCAGGCGGTTCAAATGATATCGCATAGCGTACACTCAGCACTCGAATGTTCCATCGTTGTCAACGAAGTGTGTACACGCAGTCGAACCATATATGTATGTAGGTACAAAGATACTGAAACCGATTTCGTCATAGTTTTTTTAACAGCCCAATCCCTAGAATTCAACAGGGAAATCAATCTTACCCACTGATTGAGAAGTATAGCGTAAACATTTAAGGCGTGAGGTACGTACTCAGGGAGGAGCTTTCGTGGTCTATATCATACCCAACATTTCTTCCGTACCAGCACATAAATTGAAATTCTTCAAAGTTAAAATGTAAATTAAATATTCATATTTTAAAATGTAATTAAAAACTGAAAGGTTTATTATCTCGAATTCATGACAATTCTATAACAATTATTGATCTATTTTGGATGGAGGGAATCAAACGTTTTTATATTATTTTATTATTTTATATTTTACATTATTCCCGTACAAGTATGCCATATACATTTAAATACATACGGTATCCCGTTGAGCCAATTTTCTAAATGTATTTCCTTTTCACATCTCCCACCTCCGACTGCGTCTCGAGTTTACCAGACGCTTTATATACGCGCACTACGCTAAATACTTCTCGAAAACTACATAATATTTCCCTAGCTAAAGTTATATAATCGATTCGCGTACAAATATACATTAACATTATTCGTTTGATGCGATAACCAAGGTTTTGACGTAATTAAATTATAATGAGTAGTACATTGAAATAAATCAGTTTTTACGGCAACGAAGAATCTGTTGTGACTGGTGTAAATATTGTTTTTCAAACATTATTTTTTCTACGTATTATCTCTTTATAAAAAATAAAAAATAATAAAATAAAAACCCCTTAATACGGTTTTCCATGTAATTAAAAATGAATAAATTAAGTAGGTATAAGGTTAACTTGAATGAATTACGGTTTTATCGTGCTTTGGGGATTTATTCGCTTACATTTGGCACGGTCATGTGTCAGAAGAAAAAAAAATTGCATTTTAAATCATTGGAAAAAATTAAACACGTTTGAATTGTTTAAAATTTAGCCAAAAAGTGCCCTAATTTTAGACGAATACAACCAAAATAAGTTTGATAAATAACTGCGTCAGTGTTGCCAAACATTAATGCACCTAACTCGCAACAAATGTGAAGTGACAAAACTTGAAACAAATGAAATAAGTATACTCATGCCCAGATGAATAATTAAACACCGCTAAGTCAAATAAAAATAACTAGAAATGTCCATCAAAAAAATTAAGTTAGCTACACGGTCCAGCAGTAAAACAATACAATGCGAATAATAAAACTACAACAAACAATTGTTTTGTTTTTACAATTAAAACTTTTAATATAAATGTAAATATCTGCAGAAGTGTACGGTACAATAAAATATTATTTTAATTATACCTTGTTTGTGTAGAATTTATTTTTCTTCCGTGGAGCAATGTATAGTGGTAGGGACCAAATGTATAATAATAATAATAATTATAATAATAATGATGATGGTATAAAATAAATAATAATGTGACTTACAAATAATTTTTCCTTGCAGTTTTATTATTTTTTCTCAAAATGTTAGGTTATTTCTATAAACGGAGTAAAACAAAATAATTAAATGATAATATTTTTTATTTACTTATCGTCGAAACAGTTACATACACGCTCCACTTGGAACAAAATCACTAGGTACTTATCTTTTTACGTTTCAATAAAAACGTATTTCTTATTTCAAGCACGGTTTGAGAACTTGACGTAAATATAAAACATAAATTATACATATATGTAAAATATATATATATACATATATATAAAAACAGACTACTTGCCTACCAACGTACACTTACAATACTCATTCATCGGACTGATGATCCACTTAAGTTTCAGTGAGATTTTAACTTTTTCGCACCGATTATTTTTTAAATTACGACATTATTTTATTATCACATAAAATGTATTCTCACTGAGTTCTTTATTTTTTTTAGACTGAATATTTATTTTTATTATTAACTTGTATTTTGAAAAATATTCTCATTTTATTTGAAGTTATAATAAATATACGTTTTCGTAGAAAAAATAATACAATATAACTATAAAACAAAACTTCTCTTTCTGGATTTTTACAGGCCTTTAAGACCCATCACCGCAACAATATATTTTCTCCATCCCTCTCTATTATTTGCACAGTCTTCTGCGTTCCTAACGTTTAGGAGTTTCAAGTATTCTAGTACTCTATCCATATATCGTTATCCGTTGTCTAGGATATCCTCTAGGTCTCTTAGTGTTGGGTTTCCATTAAGCTATTAATCCAATTATTCCCTCTGATTTCCCTCTGAAAATACGTGTCTGGTCCAACTTATCCTCGTGTTCTTTAGGAACCTTATAATAGTAGGTTCCTTGTAGAGATTATCCAATTCTTCGTTCTTTCTCATTTCATACACTCCATTGTTACTGCACTTTGAACCGAAGATTTTCCTTATCACTTTTTTTCCAAACACTCTTAACTTTCCTTCGTTCGATTTTGTCGTGGCCTATGTACTACATGCATTTAGAGCAATTGGTTTGACTTAGTTACTTAAAACAAAACTTAGTATTTTTTAATTTTTATTACTTTTTTCAAGCTACATGATGAACATTTAATTTCATATCCTGAAGTAAAATAATTTTTTGAAAATGCATGAATAAAAACCCAATATAAAATGAGTAATAAATAATTTATAAGTATTAATTAAAATAGATCACACAAATAATTTTAGATTAATTTTTCTCAATCTCATTAATTACACGCGTCCCATGTAGATTTGCAAATCTATCTGTGTGATAAGGAGTGTCCCCTCCTCATTAATTAAGAATAAATAAAGACTTGCTAAATTCAAGTAAAATATTTTTGATACAATTGAATAAATTCAAAAGCATTGTCCGAAGATATATTAATAGTATTTTGTTTAATAAATTTTATTTTAAAATTTTTAAATTTATCGAAAAAATATAAATTTTTTCAAAGATTTATTATTTAATTAAGTTATATTTAAGGGAGCATAAAGACTATAATTTTGTTTGTCTAATTTTACATAAAATGTGTACGTAAAGCTGAGATTATGGCGTGGTGTATTAGAAGAAACTAAAGAATCACCAATATAGAATACTATCCTATAGTTGATTATTTCTTGAATTAGAATTCTTTTTATATTTATATTTATACATACATTTGATAAGTGAGATAAACCAATTTGTTATAATCAGTAGTGAGATTGAAATATAAGTTATTTGGTTAATGTACTTGATGAAGTGTCAATTTTTGTTAATTATTCCTCATAATATGAAAAAAAAATATATATATATAAAACTACTCTACTCTTTAGATATGGCCAAATTAATAAAGACTTAATTAATTATTGATTTATACATACTAATGAACGTATCAATGAATAATAAAACACTTTCAAATAAGTGGGTTCACTGAGTTTTCAAAAATTATATTATAAGAAATTAAATATTCGTAATGATTTGTTACGACTGAGAATACTCATAATATATTCGTTGAAAGTTAAGTCACCAGATAAATTTATATTCTTTTCTTAATAATTTGATTTAATTCTAAGTTTATTATTTCCAGTTATATAATTAATATTCATTACATTTTTAAGCTGTTTTCTTAAGACTCTTAGTTTGGGAATTACTAGTTTTTATGAATATAGATAGTAGTGAACCGACATTTTGGTGAAGCGGTTACTTATAACTACAGTCTGTAAATCATAATGAATAATACTTATAGTTACAACTAATTAATCGAATTGATTCAATAGTTAATTTTTATACATTGGTTATTTCAAAAAAATATTTCACTTAAAAATATTAAATTAAAAAAAAATATTAATCAAACCTTGATTATAATAATTTATTATTATATTATATTAAAATAAAATTATAATTATATTATAATAAAATTATAATAAAATTAATAGGTATGACAAATAACATCAAAAAAGGTTTTTTTTTTTTTTTTACGAAAGTGATATATCATAGTGTATAAATAGTGTAATATACGAGTATATATATTTTAAAATAAAAATTTGCAGTAAAGAAGAGTTTTGAACGTTGAAAAAATGTCCTTGTTTATTTAATAATACTCTACATTATTGTATCTTGTCTGGTACATAAAAATAAATGTAGGCATATGCATTAATTATATAATATTCTAAATCTGTATAACGACGCGCATCATTAAATATAATGTATAATTCATGTAAAGTTATTGGCATAACTATGAGGATGGATCCAAAGTTTAAACTCCTTCTCGAAATATGGGTATTTTTTATTAAAATCAAATTTAATGTATATACCTAAGTTTCAGTTTCTACATCAATAAACTGTAACTATGTGAAAGTGCAAACATAGTAACTTAATCTATAAGCAACTATTACTATTGGTATATTTACAGAATTATTTGAAGTTAGATTAAATACTCTACTGAGAGTTTATTACAATGGGATCGGAGAGGCTAAGAGCATATGCTTTTCTCCTCAAACACCGTCTGTGGGTCTGAGGAGCTATTTATGGAATGTATCGACCCTTTCCAAAAACAAATTCTGGTTGCGCTACTAATAAAAATTAAATAAATAATTATCATATACTCACTGAACACGGGTATATTTCATGTGGGCCCGGCCGGTGCTGGAGCTGAACGGGGTCGCCACCGCAAACATTTGGCGTCAATTTCTTTATAGTCCGATCCTCGACGTTTTGACCTTTCCAGATATTCATCGATTACGTCCTGTAAATAGATATTTAAACTTTAAAAAAATCATAACAAGATATTATAATATATATATATATGTACCGAATATCGTTACATATTCTCTCTTTCTTTCTTATTTTCGTTTGTTTATCTCGACCCGATATAAAAGGGTAAAAGTAAACAATTATAATCGTATATTATAATACAATATATTTTTAAACGGGTCAAGGCCTATAATATAAATATGATAACAAAAACAATCGCTCAATATTTAAATGAGAAATTTAAGATAAGAAAAATAACATAGTAATAAATTTATGACATATTATTAAAAATGAAATTACAATAAGTTTTGAATAAGTGACTTTGGAGAGACAAAAAAATCATTAGTAATTATGCATTATTCTGTTACTGGGGTAGTTGTTAGCAAATTCAGTAACTTCCATATTTATATAAAATGCACTTTTAATTCGAGTGCTACGTGTAGGGACATGAAATTAAAACAAAACAAGAAATCAGGGCTTGAAAATCCAGAAATCATTTTTCCGGAAAAATTTCGTACGAAAAGTATAAGTCTAATCGACTGTTTCACTGTTTCAAGGTTTTGTCTGGACAAGAGCGAGGAGTATGAAGAGTGCGAATCCATAGCTATGGCACATTTGTATGAAATAAGCATAAAAATGTTTGCTTTATTTTTTCTAATTTAAATGTATAGCTCATTTTGAATAGGGACTACTACTATGATTTAGTTATATTCACAGCTGGAAATGCATTTTAAGCCATGTTCATCAATGAAGGCATTACAATTCCGTATAGTAAAACTTAACATTTTGTTGGATCTAATAAATGTATTGTTAATTTAACAATCAAATTACAGTTAAGGATCGAACAAAATACCTAAATTCTTGACTGGATTCATAGACCACATGTCTCCGTTGATAAATAGTCAAATTTATTAATTTTTCGGGGTTTAGTAAATGTTAATATCTCACATTTATTGATGTTTAGAGTGAAGATATTATTTATGCACCATTTATAAAGATTATTAAGTCAGACTGTAGCAACTCATCTTCAAGTCAACAGTTAACTTTGTGAAAAATTTTGATATCATCAGCAAACATTAGTATAGAGCTGTTTTGATGAGTTATATTATTAATAAAAATTAAAAATAATATAAGTGCTAAATGCGAATTTTGTGGAACGAAGAAGATTTGGCGATTAATTTTAAGTCTTTGGTGAAATCGGTGTATATAACATTGATATTCGATACATCTGATAGGGACCTATTCAAGTAAGACAAGTATATAACATACAATAATCGCATATCATACGCGTAATATGACAAGTGACAAAGTTAACGTTGATGTAGAGTCACAGTCCGACTGGTCTGTCATCCGCATTTGTTTTTTCTATCCGATACTTTAATACCTGATTACGCGCTCACAACTACACGTAACAATAATACCATGAAATATGAATTACATTCAATTACATATAAAGAAGAAAATAAAATAAAATCGTGAAATATAATAAAAAAAGAATACAATTGTTCTAAATATTTTATTTTATTTTCTGATTTGGCCATTAAATAGATGAATGATTTAAAAAAAAACTAAATTAAATTAATGTTAACATATATTTCCCATTCCCTATGATTCGTGTTCAAAATTTAAAACACTGATGTAAATCATTACATGGAGACGCGAATATACGATTACTGAACGTCTGCATATACACGTAAAACGGTATAATTATTTTTGTATGTACGTATCGTGGTGCATATATACAGTGTAGATTATATGCAATAATTTATCTACTAAAATACTTGACTATGGCCATACACAGTAAAAATACTAATTTTAAACCAATCAATTAAACTAATTAAAAATCAAGATTTAAAATCGACACAAGGTAATCGGCTCCTACCGGAGCCCAAAGTTGTTTGATATCCACCGATTATCATTATCACATAAATAAATGTTATCAGGTTTTTTTAGTGATATTGAAAATAAGGTTACCGTTTTAGAAAAACGTAGGTTTTTATTTAGGTTACTAAAGGTTTTTATAAAGGTAACTGTTTACCCATCAAGAATTGGTTTTCGAAAAATTATGCCATTTGCATTCTACAGCTCTAAAATATATATTTTAAACGATTCACTCTTTTGCACACCTACAACGCGATGAAATTAAAATAAAATTACTTATTTCATTTTATTAAATAATAATTTATTAATTGCATCTTTTATTATTTTGATTACAAAAATTCACTTCAACTTAAATTTTAATTTCTTATAATTAAATTACAATATTATTATTATATTATTATATTACATTATAATTCTTATAATCTCATTCGCATAATTTTCTTCGTATTTTTGTTAATACAGTAAAATGCTCCCATTAATATTAGATAGAACTCAAATCTAAAATAAGATTGAAAGAATATTTAACTAACAGGAATCAGTAACATTTGTCGTCAGTGCAATTGATTTTCTTTTTCGATTTACGATCACGTTCGACGATTTTAACTGACCAATTTGACGTTTAATATTGATGTTTTTAGGTGTTTATACATGATATCGATATTTAGTTATTTTGATTCTTAATCGTTTTTTGACGCACGATAAAAATAAAATAAAATTTGCATGCTAAAGCTTTAGTTGTGTTATATAAAATTACCTTTAAAATTTGGCAAGAAAAAGAAGAAAAACAGGAATAAAATAGACGTAATATTCGGGTACTATACGATTGTGAATGGAACGATTCCGAACGGACCTTTTTTCATATCACATATATCATATATAAGTTAAAAAAATTAAAAACTTGTAAAAATACACATTTTTATGTCATAAAAACCAACAAAAAGTCAGAATTCAACTTTTAGGTCTTTACGTAAAGATATTGAGTGTTCTCAGTTATCGTTTACATACTGTATTTATATTTATATAAATGGTTTTTTGCTATTACGCCGGACGATAAGATAGGTGGGTTACTAATATACAATTTATCTATAGTAGGTATATCTATGTTAATTTGATGGAAAACCAGATCGATTTGTATAGTCGTACAGTATTATTTGTCATTTTCGTTTGTCATGTGTCGTGTTCGTTTCGTTCTGTTCAATAAACTATGGAACAAATTCAAATAATAATGTCCGAAAAAAGAAGGGAGTTAGCTCTCTTACTTAATTTTAAATACAGTTTCGTAAGAAAACGTAAATATAGTTACATCAAATGAGTCTGTACAGACAAAAAAAAATGCTCTACTGGTATTACAACAACTTCGGATAAGAAGTCTCTACATCAGTTAACTGATGAGCATAAGTATTTGGTTAACAGCCAACAAAAAATTGAACGACACATCTTAGGAGAGTATTGTAAAAGAAAAGCCGATGAAAATATTTTTACCAGGCCAATAAAAATTATATGAACTGAATTAATTAAAGATAATCCGACAGATATAAGATACAGTGATATACAATCTGTGCGTAAAGCGATGTACGATAAGCGACGTAAAATATATCCTGTTTTTCCCACATCATTAAATGAAGCAATAGCTCAACTGAAACTGGTGGAAAATTATTTTTGTTATTTTAATGGAGAACAATTTATTTTTGTTCCGGAAAATCACGAATATGTTTGTATAACTACAAAGGAAGATTTAAAATGTATGCTTGTTGTAGGTATATCAGCGGTAAAGGTATAGAGTATAGGTATACAGAGTATAGGTGAAAGGTCACTACCCTGAGGAACTCCAGATTTAATATTATGAACAGTCGAATAACTATTTTTCTGGCGAATGAAAAAAGACCGATTTTCAAGATATGACTTGATGATTAAGTAATATGGCGAAGGGAGAAAGTGTTTTAGTTTAAACAGAAGCCCGTCGTGCCAAACACGGTCAAAAGTCTGAGATTTTATATGTGATTCTATGAATTTGGTGGATTGTGTTGTGTTTGCGACGGAAACCGAATTGTGATTTTGGTAATATGCTATGCTGGTCGATTATTAGTGTAATTGTATTATTATTGTATTATTGTATTATTGTTATTATTGTAATTCTATGTAGAATTAATTTTTCGAAAAGCTTTGCAAAAGTGGGTAATAAACTGATAGGACAATAAGAACTGATGAGGTGCTTAGGCTTATTTGGTTTAAAGATCATAATGATAATTTAATTTTTCTATGTAGGAGGAAAATAAGACAAACGAAGCATAGCATTATAGATATGAGTAAGAAACATGATTGACTTTTTTGATATGTTTTTGGCTATTTTATTTATAATTTGGTCATGACTGGGTGATTTTTTTGGCCAAAGCTTGTGGATTACTGAAACAATTTCAGCAGGGGAAATCGGTTTTCCAGGAAGAGACATGGGCAAAGGGGAAGACAAAAATGAATTTTCTAGATTGGTGTGATCTGGAGTAAAATTTAGATCAGAATGAGGAAAGAAAATAGAGGATAGGTGATTACCAAAAATATTTACTTTCTTTACGTCAGAAATAGCTAATGATTTGTCAGGTCATTCAAGTGGAGGTGTATTATCACGATGATTGATTAGTCATTTGGTTGTTTTCCAGAGGAAGTCATTGTTATGACTCAGAGTAGTTAAATATTTACTAAACTGTTCGGATCTGTAATTTGCTAATTGAATTTTTAAATCAGTTATGAGATGGTTATAAATAGTTTTGTGTATAGGATATTTTGTTCTTTGCCATAATGATCTAGTCTGACGTTTTGTTTTTATAGAATTAAATAAGAACGAAGAATGTGAAGTATGATAGTTTAGTAGGTTATTATTTCAGGTATGGAAAGAAGGGGCGTAGATAAATTGAGTCCCAAACGAATTTATCTTTTTTCGAAATAGGTAAACTAAGTCCCAATAATAATATTGAAGTTGGTAAAATGAGTCCTACGTATAAAATTTAAATATGTAAACTGAGTCCCTCGTTTAACAGTTAACGCGGCAAATTAAGTCCCGTCTAAAATATTTAATGTATTAAATTTATTTAAATGAATTTAAATTATAAATATAAT